GCCTTCCAAGGATCCCGTGCGAGTTGGTGACCTAAAGTCAGTAGTGCTGCCCTCGTAGGTCGAGCTCCTAGTAGCTTCTTGTAGGAGTGGGTAACAGACGTCACTAACGAGGCTGATGCAGCGCAACCGTAGCTCTAAGGAGCCGACCTGGCGGCCTGGCCCAGGCGCGAACTGGCGAACTGATAAAAGATCTCGGCACTACAATAAGTCTCAGTCGCCTCTTTGGCATGGGCAAAATCAAAGATCAAGGAGAGTGGACTACGAGTCACTCCGAGAGCCTAAGGGCTAAAATACCACATAAGACCCAATCACCTCTTCGGCATGAGCAAGATCAAGGAGAGTGGACTACGAGTCACTCCCGGAACCTAAGGGCCAAAATACTGAGCTAGCGAAGACCTCTTCACCATATAAGACCCAGTCGCCTTTTCGGCATGGACAAAATCAAGGAGCGAACTGTGAGTCGCTCCCAGAGCCTAAGTAATTGAATCGACACTTACGAGCTCATCGAATTATTCATTCCGGGCCAAAAGGAGAAATTTACTCCCTTCGCCGGGTTACTTTCAGCTCAGGAGTGGGGGGCAAATGATGAGGGCAGATTTGGCCCTCCAATGATATTGTGACACATGGCACCTCAGAACAACTAGGTGACACCCGGAACCACTCAGGCAACAACTTGCCAAGTTGATGGCGTCCAACCTGGCGGCCTGGTGGCCTGGCACATGCGCCGACCTGGCGACCTGCGAGACGTGTTGTTATGGACACACCGCCCGGCAGCGCACTGTGGCGCAGTCATAGGCAGCAGCAGCACGCACAGCAGCACGCACCGCCCGGCAGCGTGCAGCACGGCAGCAGCACTAGGCAGCAGCGCGCAGCATGGCCGCAGCACTAGGCAGCAGCACGCACCACATGGCAGCAGCACTAGACAACAGCACGCACCTCACGGCAGCAGCACTGCGAGACTCGCGCAGCGCCCGGTAGCTGCAGTAGGGCGGGGCCCACATGACAGATCATCAGGTTGGGTCCACACTTATCTTACCACATCAGCTCTGGCCGCCAACTCGCCGCCAGCTACATCATTCCTTATCCCTTATCCCTTATCCCTTATCCCTTATCCTTATCTTATCTTCTTAACTAAGAGTTGTGTTACCATTAGGAGTAGGTAATTAGGAGTTTGTGTTTGAGTTGGATTACCCTAGCCTAGCCGAATCCAACAAGGAATTTCCTTTTGTAATCTCCTATTTAAGGAGCTATGAGTTGAAATAAAGGCATTCAGTTTTTCAGTCAAGAGAAGAGTGAGGAGAGTTCGGGTGGTCTCTTGGACAAATCACCAATTCGGAGAGTTTGGGTGGTCTCTTGGAAAAATCACCCATTCAGTTTTTCCACAATAGGTTCTGCACGCAAGGAAAGGCGCAAGGGAAAGCAGGGCTTTCTCCCCGTGGACCGACCCGTGACGAGATCCTACGCCCGGGCCCATAACACGTGCTCGCTGACAAACTCAACATGCATTCCCCACGATCCTTGGAGGTTGGCCTCGTTCCAGAAGATGGTCAACGTGCATGGCAGTTAACTCCGAGGATCTCGGACCAGTTAGACACGACCTCCTGGAGATCTCGGGGGCGGTACGTGACAAGGCCTATATAAAGGCACCAACCCCAATGACAAGGGGGGGGGCAAGCAAGTAAGAAAATTCTAGCTCTCATTTGTGCGATTTTTAGCTCACAGTCTACTATGAGAGTATTGACTTAAGCATTGGAGCGACCTCGCCGGGTTAGCCACCCCGGGTCCTCTGACATTTGGTTCCTTGCAGGTCTCTAAATAGCAACGAAGCTCATCAATCCAGCTCGCCACCTGGTCAGTTCAGCACCTCACAGGCAACCCGACACCTCACAGGCAGCTCGACACCTAGGCAGCTCCACTTCGGCCTCTGAGTCCTTGGCCACTTGGAAGCAGACCAAATGATGATGTACTTAGCACAAAAAATTGATACTTAGTACAAAAAAATTGATTCATCATTTGGCATGTCTTTTTTTTTTTGTTTGGAATTGCTGTTGTCAGTAAGATGCTTCCTGGAGCAATAACAACTTTTTCTGTTTGGTACCAATGTTTCAGGAAATGTTTTTAGCACTGGTACCCATTATCTAGTGCCACATCACTTTTACCTCACATCCAGTACCTACCGTTAACTAGCCGTTAACCTGTTGTTAAGTGGCATTTGAAAAAGACACAAATGCCCTTCAAATGTTATTTAATTTTTTTTATCAACCATCTAAACATTGACAAAAAATTAATAGTCCCAAATCTTTGCCTTTTCCATTCAAGAAAGTTGGGGTCATGTTTGATTGGGCATTCTAGTGACTCCAACTTTCTTGAATAGAAGAGGCAAGGATTTGAGACCGTTAACATTTTGTCAATGTTTGGATGGTTGATAAAGAAAATTAGATGACACTCAAAGGGCATTTGTGTCTTTTTCAAATGCCACTTACGGTTGGTTAACAATTGTACTGAATGGTCATGTTTTAAAAGTTCGAGTACTGAATTGTTGCATTTTAAAGTTTGGAGACCAAAGTGGCACTAGACCCAAAATACATGGTACGAATTTGGATTTTTTCCCTTTATACAACATATCGTATCTATAGTTAACACATCCGACCTTTTAATGTTGTCAGAAACTAACAGTTGCACTAGTTTAGGGTTGAATGTTGGCCTCTAATGAGTTGTTGGTGTCCTAAAAATATATTTGGTGATATTTGGAGGGCAATCGGAGGCCCTTTGAGGTTGTGATACTCCCTGGTTCAATAGAGCACTGTAGCAGCAAATCAGGTGTAAAAGACAGTTGCTTTGAGTTTAGATGACCTGACCCATATCTATTTCATGAAGCCAACCTGTTTACAAAATTGCATGAAATATTTAATCAGTTAAATTAGGTAATATTAGTTAATTCAATTACAAGTTTGATTGATTCAAATTGACATGTTTGATCATGTTGATCTTTTGGGTGGTTTGGACCATTTAATCTTCTAAATTTTTAAAAACCCATGCTATCATAATTAACAGTAAATTTGTTGTTAATTAACAATAATTATTGATTAATTATTATTACTTACTTAATTTATAGTATTTAATTTACTTAACATTTTTAATTAAAGTATTAACTTTATTTAGTTTAAAGTATAATTAATTATGGATTTAATTGTTAATTAATTAATTAATTTACAATAAATAATTATGATTTAATTCATGCCTCCCCAAATCTCGCAATCCACTAGGGATGCAACTCTGATGGATTGGTTTGGGTTGAGGGTCAAACCAAGTCCAACCTTAAGCTTCAAACCTTGGGCTCAGTCTTGGCCCAATTCGAGGTCAATCTCGAGTTTGACACCCCATGCCCAACCTGAACCTAACCCAACACAACAGGCTCGAATTGGACTTGGGTGGGTTGGTTGGATTTGCAGCAGTTTGAATGTATAAGTGTCATTAGTAAATTTTCATATACATATTTTATATATTTATACATGCAAATATAATTAAGAAAATATATTTTATATACAATAAAATGTATGATATGTATATTTATACATGTGTATAGGTGAATTCATGCAAATCATTCACATATTGCAAATAACTAATAAGTATTCTTAAGTGCATATTGAAAGTACAAATATGCATTTCCTTTTAATTTGTTTTATAAATCATATTGAATGGTTTTGGGTCTATGGTTCTGTCCTGATTAATTATTGGTTTGGGACTGAGACCATCGTGTCCCAACCTAAACCTAACCTGTTGACAACCCTAGAATAGATTTGTAACTTTGGTTCTATTCCAAATTGAGAATATAGACTAAGTTTGAAGGTTTCTCCAACATTGTAAGTAATTATCTGAGAATAATGGATAAAATACTAGAAGTCATTTTTATGTATTTAACTTTCATTAATTTTATAAGGGAAACTTTTAACCTTTTCTATAGTTTAACCAAACTAACATCTACTTTGAATTTTACACTAAATTATTTTAATMTCCTTTAATTAAGGGCATGTTTGGTATTATGGTTTTTCTAAGATGATGTTTATACCTTCAAAATGAGAAAAGTGAATAGTTGATTCTAAGTACGTTTTTTATAATTTAAGCTAGCTCGATGCCATTAAGCATCACATAGACAAAACAAAAAAGGGAAAACATTAGTACCATTGCAAGGAGAGGTGCAAGCCGGACCTGATTAAGTGATGTTGAGGTTAGACCTAACCCAGCCTGAGCTTTTGAATCCCCAACCCTAACCCTATCCTTATCCTAAAATTTTGAGTTGGGTTGACATTGGATTGGGTTCGGGTTGGCCGAATTTCACTACCTCCTTTTGCCAAATGGTATTTCCCAAACTCAAAAAGTTTATGTTAGTTCAACTTTAACATTATTACGTGTATAAGAGCATATACAGTTTTTCCCGATACTAATGTAATGTCTATATTTTTATGGGAAAATTCTTGATAGGTATCATGTATTTTAGGCTGAGTGTCAATTTAGTATCCAAACTTTAAAACGTGACAATCTAGTATCCTAACTTTCGAAATGCGACAATCTAGTACCTACCGTTAATAGACCATCAGTTATGTATATCACGTGACCTCATATGCAATTTAAGGCTTTTGAAAATGTCAAAATTACCCTTGGAAATAAAACACACTGTTCATCATCTTCTTTCTCAAGAAAATGAAATAGAGCCCAAGCTCTCAACAGTCCAGACTATCATTTCATGACAAAAACCCAAGAGCCCAAAATAAAGGGCTCGTTTTTAAAACCCAAACTTCTATCGGAGCCTGGATTTGCTATATCTATCATAAAAAGAAAACTATCTATTTTGCAAGCTTAGAAAGAAGCATGTGAGAGGAAAACAGATGAGAAATAATTCATCTTAGAACGCATAAGACCTATTTGACTATTCTTCCAAACAAAAAAGAAATTTATTGAACTGGGTACTGGCTGTACTTAAAACCATAGAATTCAATTACACGTATTTGGAGCACCTTGAGAATTTGGGCCCCCTTCCTCCTCGCCCTTGCGTTGCACCCTCCTTGCAGCGCTAGCACCATTGCTCGACCAACCTCCTCTAGCGGAGCCACCCCCTCCTCGCCACCCCCTCCAAAAATCACTGCCAGAACCCTTATCCCATGCTCTTTCCCTCTTCCCACCATCTTCGTTACCATCTCTACCAGCATTGGAATGGCCAAAGCGTGGGCCCTCAGCTCCACAGCTCCCTCTGGGACCGTTCATAGCAATTCCAATGTAGCTAGCACCCGCTCCGCTATTGATCCTTCTAGCTCCACCACTGTCTCCACCACCTCTGCAACCGCTCTTGCCTCCAGGGCCACGTGGTGATTGCATTCTACCAAGCATAATGCCAACGGACTTTTGTTGCAAGCTTGGCACCTATCAGGGGCGTATCGATAGTGTATTGATGAAAAAGATACGGCCAAAAACAAAAAAAATTAAAGGGGGAAAGCAATCTTCTTTTCCTCGAAATAAGCCTTCTTTCACCCCTAAATGATTCTAAAACTCTAAACTTCATTCCTAGAGTGCTAGATTTGCAAAAGTTTGCAAGAAACAAGTATGAATCGTTATTTTTTTTAAAGATTTTTCAAAATTTGAAAATATATGGAAAAATAGGTAAATTTTTTCAATCTTTTATAATATTTTGTGATTTCTTTTTTTCTTGAATGTTTAAATTTATGTTGATCTACATTTCTTACATTCAAAATCATAATTTTTTTTGTGCTATCAGTAGATTTATGGAAATTTCATGAAGATATTTGGGGAAATATAAATTAACAAAAAATTTGAAAATGTAATTTTTCTCTGCCTATAAAGACTAAATATGTTTTGCATCTATAGATTTATCTATCATATCCATAGAGCAATTGAAATTTCTTCTTTAATATATTTTTTATTTTTTATATTTTTAGAATAAAAAAATAATTAATTATATTTTATCATTTTATCACAATAATTGAATATATTATAATTCTATTGATGATCTACCATATCCACAGATCAATTGAAATTTCTTCTTTAATAATTATTTTTTTATTTTTATATTTTTAGAATTAAAAAAATTAATTAATTATATTTTATCATTTGATCACAAGGATTGAATATATTATAATTCTATGGATGATCAATTATATCCACAAAGTAATTCAAAATTCTTCTTTAATAACTATTTTTTGAATATATTATATAATGTTTATTTATTTTTATAATTTTTGGAAATGAATAATAAAAATAATTATTTAAATAATAAATAATTATTAATTATATTTTCCCATAGAAGTTGTGCCAATGCAGGTTTTATGGATAGGAGGATTGGGTTTTTTTCATCCCATAAAACATTAAAACTTAAGAATTGTAATTTATAAATTATAGTTAAGATAGGATTTTAAATGAAATTATAATTAGATATAATATATTTCTTCATAAAACCACTAAAATATATTAATTTAATGTAAATACACCTCATTGAGGTCTTATATTTAGTATTGTTGATGTATTTTTATGATTTATTAAAATATTTATAGTGTTTTCAAGCGTATTTATACATATCTTAGCTTTTTGCATATCCTGATACATCTCTTAAAATTGTCTTTCCAATACATTTGAAGTTTCCAATACTTTGAACCTCGGTGGTGGCTAGGTCGGGGTAATCCCAAAGAAGAAAAAAAAATGACATATTTTAATAGAGTAGAGCTATGAGAAAATACTATGATAATATATATTTTTGGTTGGATTTTAGCATCGTAGCTGTCCTAGCATTGGCTCCTTTTTGGCTTGAAAGTGTTGCTAATGGGAATGTGGAGGATGAACCCTCCTCCGACATTACATGTGATTAGATGAAAAGAGCAGAGCCACCAATGTTGAGTCATGAGTGATGGAGTAGGTGTGTGATACTGACATGATGTGTTGTGATGGTCTTGATTTTGGGCTTCCCAGATGAAATAAGTTAGCAGCGAGCACACTGATTTTAATTTTAGTTTTCCTTTTATTTGTACGGATTTTTTAAAGCTATTATCTTATCTTACTAAAGCTCTTGCCTAAGCCTTAAAGCCCCAACTCTCCTTCCAAAACTATACCAGATCTGGGGAAGAGGGAAATAGATGGAGATCGGTGGCTCGAAGCAGAACAATGAAGGTTTCGTGGGGAACAAACACATTTTCATCTTATCCGGACAGAGCAATATGGCCGGACGAGGGGGAGTAACACGAGAGAAGATATGGGATGGGATCGTTCCCTCGGATTGCTGCCCTGATCCCAGTGTCATTCGATTAAACGCAAAATTGCAGTGGGAGGAGGCCCAGGAGCCCCTCCACGCCGATATCGACACGAAGAAGACGTGTGGCATAGGACCTGGGATGTCCTTCGCAAATGCGATCCGGGCGCGTAACTCGAGCTTGGGGGTGGTGGGTCTGGTGCCTTGCGCGGTGGGAGGAACGGCGATTAAGGAGTGGGAACGAGGGAAGGATCTCTACGACAACATGGTGAGAAGGGCCAGAGAATCGCTCAAGGCGGGCGGCCAGATCAAGGCCCTGCTTTGGTATCAGGGAGAGAGTGATACGTTCTCTCTAGACGATGCCAACTCTTACAAATCCAACATGGAGAGATTCATCCAGGACGTCCGTGCCGATCTTCACTCTCCTTCACTTCCAATCATCCAAGTAAGTATCAATTATCAATCTGCATCTATCTTGTGTTGTGACTCGGCAGAAATCTTGGAAAAACATTTGTTTGTTTCGTATCATAATTAGCTCAGACTCAGACAGGCCCAAAACAGATGTATAAACCCTAATGGTCAATTCATCAATGGTGATTACAGGTAGCGATCGCATCCGGGGACGAGCAATTCCTAGAGAAAATCAGAGAAGCGCAAATGGGAATCAAGCTCCCTAATGTCTATTGCGTTGATGCAAAAGGATTGGCGCTCAAAGAGGATAATCTCCACCTCACTACAGAGGCCCAGATCCAGCTGGGGAGCATGTTAGCTGATGCGTATCTCATTCACTGCGCATATACACCTACTCTATGAAGATTTTGGTCCGTATCCGTAATGTAACGTTTTGATGGACCTTATTGTAAAATAATCTTTTTAAAATAATTTCTAGGATAGGGTAAATTTTTTAAAAAATACCAAAAACGGTAAAAACACTGATCATTTTCTTCTTCATTTAGACCATCGAATAAATCTCCTCACCTCCGGTCTCTTTCTCTTTCCCCTTCTTCCTCCTTTCGATGGCCATAAAAGAGCTTCATCGTCGAGCAAAAGAAGAAGAGGAGTTTTGTTCCTCGTGTTATTCGGCCCCGACCGGACATGAGATTTTCTCCCCTCCCTTTTTTGTAGTCTGTCCTTCTTGTCTGCTCTGTCCGTCCATTTCATTGTCTTTATTTTTGATCGTTAGCTGTAGCTCTCTATTGCTTGTACGAAGAAGAGAGATATTAGAGAGAGAAAATGGCGGATTGGGGTTTGGTGGTTATAGCGGTGGTGTTGTTCGTGCTGTCGACGTCGAGGCTATTGTTCCAGCTACTGGGAAGGAACAGAATAGTAGAGTTCGGGAACATGCAAACAAGTGGTGTATCCATTCTGGTGCATGCCATCATCTATTTCGGTCTCATCACCATCTTCCTCATCGCCATCGGTGTTCACATCTACACCGGTTAATCACCACTCTTTTCTTCTTCTTCTTCTTTCGATGGACTCTTTCGATTAGCTTCATTCGGTTAACCATCGTTCGGTTAGCTTCGTTTCATTTTGTGTCGATTCCAACTTCCAAGGAATTCTTTTACCATCTCGAGAGTCCCAGATTCAGATTCGAGGAGAGTCCAATCAATTCACTGCTTCTGTTTTTACCCCTCAACCGCACCCTCCTGAGCCCTAACTTTGAGAGATGAGTATGCTCGGCGTCCAAAGCTCAACACTACCCAGAAGAGTTTCGATGACCATCGTCAAGATCGCCATGAAAGAGCTTCGTCTGCCTTCCACCTTCAGACCACTTAAATGGAATGCACGGCCTTTGTTTTTCCTCGTCGAGCACTACCTGGAGGAGGAGGAGGACGAAGGCAGATGAAGCTCTTTCAAAGAAGAATAAAAGAAGAAGGCAGAGGGGAGGACCAGAGGGGAGGACGATGGCGGACGAAGATCTTTCAAAGAAGAAGAAAATAAGAAGGCAGAGGGGATGACTAGAGGTGCAGAAAAGAAGGCAAAGGGGACGACTAGAGGGTAGGACGAAGGCGGACCAAACTCTTTCGTTCTCCTCTTCATCGCAACTCTGCTCCAAACTCAGATACAGAAAAGAAGAAGAAGAAGAGGAAGGAGGAGGAAGAGGAAAGAGAAAGGTAGAGGCTAGTGTTTGGTGGTCTCAAAAGGAAGAAGATGAACAATATTTTCACCCTTTTTTTATATTTTTTTAAAAGTTACCTTATTTTAGAAATTATTTTAAAAAATTATTTTTATTGATACTGACACCCAAAACTTGCCCTTATCAACTATAATCCCTTTTTTTCGGATTTCTTTTGAATTTCTACACAACGGGGTAGCCCATCCCAACAAACTGGGCTTCAGTCACTACTAGACCTGTTCATGGGTCGGGCCGGGCTCGGGCCGGGCTTTGACTCTTTATTAACAGAAAACTGTTAGGCCCGAGCCCAAGCCCGGCCCGACCAATGGGCCTACAACTTGGGCCCGAGCTCGAAGCCCGACCTAATAAAAGAAATTCAAAATTTTCTGACATTTTTTTATTTTAATTTAAATGTTTTTTCCCCTATTTAAATGAACAATGGATCTACAAGTGAATCAATGACCTCAAATCAAAAAATTTATTCAAATAGACATCACATAGGGTTTTTACTTAGGTTTAACTATAGGTCGGGCTAGGNATTTATTCAAATAGACATCACATAGGGTTTTTACTTAGGTTTAACTATAGGTCGGGCTAGGTTTACTTAAGTTTAACTATAGGTCGGGCCGGGCCGGGCTCGGGTYGGGCTATTTTGGCAAAGCCCGAGCCCGGCTCGAATTTTATGCGGGCCGGGCTTTTTGGCCCGAGGTTAAGCCCGCGGGCCAAAAATCCTGTTCAAGCCCGTCTGGGGGTCGGGCCGGGCCGGGCCGGCCCGTCGGGCCACCCGGCCCATGAACAGGTCTAGTCACTACAAGGCTCGTTCGAACAGCCTTTATGGCCTTGCATTGGAATCTCACTCACTCTCTCTCTCTCTCTCCTTAAATACTTTTTCTTAAGCACTTTTGTTTCTCACCAATAAATTCTACAAAGTAAATCTATACCTAATATTTTTAATAATTTAAAACCTATGTTCAAAACCAATATAAAAAATAATTAAATAAACCACCCTTTTGTCTAAGTGGCAAGTGAATAGTTCAACCATTGGTGTCAAATGGGTCAACCAATGTTCTCATAGTTAAATAATATAAATATAAATATTACAAAAATTATAAAAATTGTGAAAAAATTTAGGCACATCTCTATTATTATCTATTTATCATATTAAACAACATTAAGCATGCTAAATAAAAGTATTTTTATTCAATGGAAATGAAATACAAGATTTAAAACTAACCAAAAAAATGAAACCATTTTCCTATTCAAGTGGCAGGTCAATGATTCAACCTTTTATGTCAAATGGATCAATCCATGATATCATAAATAAATAATAAAAATTAAAAAAAAATGATAGAGACACAAAAATTATTATAAGCATAAAAATTTTGTAAAAAAAAAACATTTGGGTGCATGTGCATCTTTAATATTATCTATTCATTATATTAAACAAAAATAAGCATGATAGATAATCATTACTTTTATTAATGATAGAAATAGTATTAAAAACTAAACTAACTTAAAAAGAAAACTGCTTTTGTATCTAATTAATGGCCAATAGTCCATACCATAGGGAGGCAAATTAGGTGGGCTTAACTTGAGATCAAATCGATCTAGCTCATAATTTGAGATAGGCTAGGTTTGATTTTCGGTCCTCGACTTGGGCGTAGGCTTAGGTTCAAAAGTTTGGGCTTTTTTATTCTTTGGTTGGGCCAAGTCTGCCCTTAGGTAGATAAAGTCATGTCTGATTATATATGTACAATCATAAATATATATAGCACATATTTGTATACATGCATGTATATACAATTATACACATACATTTTATGACAAATTTTGTCAGGGGCTTATTGATAGACCCAAGTCCAAGACTAACCCAAGTGTATGAAATTTCAATGAAGTTGGAAGTTGGGCTCAAATTGAACAGATTAGACTTGACATTGGTTTGAAGCCTTAGGTCCAATGCAAAGGGTTGGCCTGGGTTTTTACTTATCCTTTTTTAATGGTTTTAATAAGTATATTGAAATTACCATGTACAGTGGAGATGCATATTTACTAGTTTGATGAAAATTCGGAAAGTCCACATCAATGGTCCAAATGCCATTTGAGAAACTTAAAAGTAAAGCTACTCTAAATAGGTTATTGATAACCCTGATGTTGAACATGAGCAATTTCTTTCTATCAGACTCAAATGCAGAAACCCTCCCAAATGGGGCCTAGCAGATTGCTTTCTTTGCTATATTACAGATTTGACCCAAGTCAGAACTGGGAAGCAAGATTGCGTGCCATTTGCTTACCAAAACAATTATTAGAGGTTACATCCTAAAGTACTTGATATTAGAGTCTACATCCAACAATTTTAGGAATGAGACAACAAATTGGGTTGGCAATTTGCTTTGGGCTTAGGCTGATATTTCCGACCCACCTAACGGAAACCCAAACTGTGTTTGTGGATCTATTTTCAATCTTTCAAGTATTGAAACTAGCTTAGAGCAAAACCTAATTCGACGCAGCTGCAGCCTTAGCTTGAGTGATCCCATTCTACCCTGGGTGACCTTTATAGGCATGGGGCATGCAATCCACCATAAGGAGAGTTTTAGGATCTTGTTAGCGATATCATCGCCCCTGCCACAGGAGGACTCCCACCAATCTAGATAAGGTAGATCACGATAAGGGTTCTTCATGTTAATCCTTGTTCTTGGTGTTTATCTATAATGCCATGTGTGTACTGTTGTAGCTTATCCTCTCATTCTATACATATATAAATATTAATGATATAGGACTCCACAGGTGTATTGGTATAGTGGAGTTTCTCTCAAACTACTTGTTTTAGTTCTCTAAAGTTGAGTTATTCTTCAAGTTCTTTCATGGTATTAGAGCCAATGGCTTCTGATCGTTCTGCAACTTCCTCTGCATTCAATATCAGTATTATGTTCAATATTAATCAGTTTGTCTCAGTTAAGTTAGACTGCCACAATTTCATACCGTGGCGATTCCAAATGACAACAATACTACGAGGTGCTAAACTCTTTCGTTATGTTACCGGTTCCTTTCCTTGTCCACCCAGATTTGCATCTGATTCTAATAAGGAAAAGATTATCATCAGTTCAACATATTTAGAGTTGGAGCAACAGGACTAACTGATCCTTGGTTGGCTCCTGGCTTCACTCATTGAAGGAATATTGGCACAGGTTGCAGGAGCCACCACCTCCAAGGAATGCTGGGATTCTCTGTCTCGTATCCTTGCCTCTAAGTCAAGTGCTCGAATCCTGCAACTTAGGTACCAGATATACTTCACATTCAAAAAGGAATAATGTCCATGAACGAATACCTACTGAAAGGTTATAACCAGGCTGATGCACTTACCACTACAATCACTGTGAGAGCAGCCGACTATACACCTTTGATGAAGTTTGCACCTTACTTCTCAACCATGAGATCAGGTTAGATAATTCAAAATTTGTTATGACTGCTAACATTGCAGCTAAAGACATCAACATGGGAAAATGTCCTGTTCCACCTCAACAATGAAGTGATAAGAACAAAAGGAAGCCTACTCTCTCTCTGACAATCAGTGACCTAAAACTCAGTGCCCTAAATTGTTGGAAAATGGGGTCACTATAACTTTGGAGGAAAAGCTCTGAGGCGCGTCTGAAGACACTGTCTTTAGAACGTTATTTGCCCCCACTTAGTTTCATTGAGTTTGCTGTTGGGTTACAAGAAAATCTATTCATAGGATACAATAGAGCCTCGGGCGAGAATCTGCAACCAGCAAAGTTGAAAAATCTTCGGAGAAACCTTCTGTGAGACTGTAGAAGACCGGACTGAGAGAGAAATTTATGAAGATGTATGAAGAAAAGGTAGTTGCTGGTTTAGAGAAGGCACCTTGAACAATCAGAATTTCAAACATTATGACTGTTTAAAAAATAGTTAACAGTTAATGACTGTTAACTTTGAATTGTGCTTCTTGATCACACCTGATCGAATCGTGACCGTTGATGATCAACAGTCAGCATCGCACCAAAACCAAAGCCGCCCTTCGCAAGCAAAGTGCACCTCTAAAGTGCCTCATTGCGTCACACACACGCGCGCACATGCGTGTACGCACGTTGCGCAGTATCAAACCCCCATATTCTCCTCTACTATTTTTAAGGAGTGTAAATCAATTCCTATTAAAATACTGAAAACAAAGCTTATAATTTTCCAATGTGGGACAAGTTCAAAATTGGGTTTTGTAAGAGAAAAACTAATTTTTCAATCAAGTGTGTAGGTACAATTTCTCATGTAATTGACCAATCAAACCCTATTGGATTTAATTTCTTATGAGTTTAAAATCCAACAATTACTACAATTGGTTTGATAATGTGCACTTCCCTCCTAAACCAAAGAGTCATTATGCTATAATGGCATCTTCCTCTTCTTAGATAGGTGGCTCTAGTTGGTACCTCACTGCTAATCTCTAGAACTTAAGCTGAACTCTGAGTACAAAGGTCCTGATCAAATTGTCGTAGGCAATGGAACAGGCTTAGACATCCTTCACACCGGCGGGGTTTTGTACTGTTACTTCATATGATCGTCCACTCTTGCTTTGTAATATTTTACATGTTCTAGAAATTACCAAGAATTTGTTATCTGTTCAAGGATCGCTTCTCCATGGAGAAGATACTACTGGAGGGTCCGAGTAAAATCGACCTTTATCAACTTCCACTACTCTCCACTGGTTCAAAGACAAGCTTGTGTAGGAGAGAGTACATCCATTGATCACTGGCATGACCGCCTTCAGTTCACCCTTCACTCAAGATCATGCAACGTGTGCTAGCAGATTGTCAGCTCCCTCTAGATCTCTTCTCTCAATAAACCCACCTTTTGCACTCCGTGTTAGCAAAGCAAGAGTCATTGGTTACCTTTTCTCCCTAGTGATTCAGTTGTTAGCTTAGCTTAGACACTATTTATTCAGATTTATGGGGTTCCTCCCTGCAGATTGATTCTATTAATGGATATCATTTCTATACTATTTTTGTTGATGGCTTCAGTCTGTTCACATGGATATATCCATTATTTGGGAAATCAGATGCATTTTCAAATTTTATTCAATTTAAGGCAATGGTTGAAAATCTACTTGAGCGTAAAATAAAGATGTTGCAAACTGATCATGGTGGTCTTGAATTTACCGAATTTAAAGGCTTTCTCGCCAACCATTGTATTTTTCATCATGTTTCATGTCCATACACACAACAACATAATGGCTCTATTGGGCGGCGTCATCGTCATATAATTGAAAATTGAAAT